TATATATATATATATATATATACTGTATATATATATTAATAGTGTTATATATATATATATTCCAAATGGGTAAGAAATATAATTTCTTCTAAGATACTGTATATTCTCTTAGTCTTAATATAAATTTGTTTGTTTAATGGATATTTAGATATATTTTTAGTGGTAATAAAGACAAATATACCAATTCATTTTTTTTTTCATGATTTTGCAATGTATGCCAGCAGAGCATCAGGTCTGCAACTAAACACTCTGTCCTTGCACCTGGAACTCCTCCATCCTTGGGACCGTCCTGCCTGCACCCTTCAGAGATGCTCTGTGGGGTTCTGACTGTTTAGTGTGATGGCATATGGATTCCTGTGTAAGACAGATAAATGCTGAGAGCTCACGTAGCAGGACAAACTGCTCTCCACAGCACTGAGCTTCTGCTTGTTTTTGGCCTGATCCAGGTAAAGCACACCTCAGGATAAAAGAAAACACCCTGGAGCGAAGCGTCTTATATGGCAGAATGAGACTTTGATCATACAGCCTCAGTTTGACTTTCAAAGGAGGCTGGAGAATAAACACAAGTGCCAGGGGACCATGAAATCTGAGTTCAGTCGGAATGCTATAATAAATGCTATTTCAACCCAGACCCGAGGGGGTTTTGGACAGCCATTTGGAGGGTGAAGAACAGAACCATGGGTATTTTGTGCCTTTTCACTGACAGCAAGGAAAACGAGAGCATTCTGAATGAAGTGGTGGGGGTTGGAAAAAAAGGAAACACATTAGCGCCGATGATATGAATACTTTTCCTCATCTTTATTCACTCCTTTGACTCCCATCCCCCTCTCCACAGCCGCATATACAAATAATGAAGAAAAAAAAACACAGCCGTTCTATTTTTAGTGAAAAATATGAGATGATGTTTGTCTAGGCTCAGTAGGAGATGTCAGCTTTATTACATCAGAAGTTGTAAAGGTTTGAAGGGCATTCTGGGTCTTTTTTGATGCTTGTGTTTCAGTTCTGTCAATGCTCACTGCAATTTAGGATTTTTATGTGGCTTTTTATCCAAATACACACATCAGTTTCACTACTGCCAGCTTGTCTTGAAAAGAAAACATCTATATTTGTGAGCAAGACATCATTTTCCTAAGCCGCAAATCTTGCACAGTGATTTGTGTAATGAGATTCACTATGGTCCCGCATTAACTGAATGGGGGTTCATGAAAAGATTAAACCCCACTTTGGCTTTTTTCCCATTCTGGGAATGTCATATTCCACTGGTATGTGTTCGGTGAGAGAGGGAAGTCAGTAGGGCATCACTGAGGGAGCTGTGACCCTGCCAATGCAAACACTGCCAAAGCTAAAATAAGCAAGGGCTTTTTTTTCCTGTATTCACAGACTGTTTTCATACATTTTATATTTAATTATTTAAATGTAATGTTTTATATACAGTATGTATAGAAATATAAATATAATATTAAATTAAAATTTATTTTTAAATAAATTAATACATACAGTATAATTATATGTTATAGGAATTATAAATATATAAAATATTAAATTCAATGAAAATTAAACAAATATACATATGTATACAGTAATAATTGCTTTGCATTTCTTTGTTTAGCATTTGGAAAATCTGTAAGCTCTTACAGTAGTCAGAGTAGAGTTTTGTCATTCATATAAAGTATAGTGCAAAGGAATGAAAACACACTGACAATAAAAATAGTTAAAACAATAAATATCTTACATTTTGAACACAGTATTGTTAGTTATTTTACTGCAATGAAAATTGTTGCGAACTCACATGAGCAACACGTAGTAGTGGCATTTTGTTCCTGAATAATTTGGTGATTTTTAACAAATCGGTTGTGTGAATGATTCAACGACTCACTCATAAACATAGTCACTTGTTTTGTTAGTAAATGTAACCAATGTAACCTGTAGAAAGAGCTAAAAAAAATCCACCTGTAGTACTCACAAACACATTCAAGTGGAGTGATGCAAACTGTTTTGTTGGACTATACATATATCAGCACGCTTATAATGCCGTGCAGCCAAATCAAATTCAAGGACTGGAATGTAAATATGTAAAACGTAAATAAGTGCTTTGTAATGCATTACATTTTGTGGAATTCTATGGAGTTACTTTCAGAACTTCCTACTGTATTTGATTTCCATGAAAGCAAAGATTTAAAAGTTCTTGTCAGTATAGCTGAGGTTGTTTAGGATAAAACACCCCCCATCTTTCATTCGGTTTCAACTGAGCTACAAACAAGCTACATTCAGGCCATTTACAGTTTCCTTCCCTCTCAGCTTTTCACTCTTCAATAATGAAAGTGTGCAATGCACCACAGACTGGAATAAATGATAATTCACCACACCCCCCATGTTCAGAGACAGAAAGGGGAGGGAGAAAGGGAATAGAGAGTCTTGGGCATTTCTATTTAGGTCGTGCATCAGAAGCCGTGCACTAACAATTGTAGATGAAGTGAGATCAGAGCTCTGTCTCCCCCCAATCTCTGTCTAATGTATCTCATTATTTCACACAGGCCCTTTTGGGTTGGTGCTCTAAATTTCTATCCTTTTCCTAAAATGACATTCAAAATCCACTTTCCATTACATTTCCAATGGTTCATATTCTGTGTGTCTGATATTATATCTGATAATCATATTGGTTGTAAAATCTCAATCTACACAGTGTTGTTGATCTCTGGCTCTCTTTGCAAAAAAAAATAAAAATAACACTAAAAATGTATAGATTGACAGGATATTACGACAGTTTAGTGGAAAAAACAAAACAAAAAATTAACTTTTGTCATGATTTACTCACTGTAATTTTCCACTGTTATTGAATATGAATGGTGACCATGACTGTCAAGCAAAATTTTCAATGGCAAGATTGTATTGAAAGAATAACATTGAATTTCAGTCTGTTCTTTAAACAAATGATCAAGCATGGCAGCTCCAGTCTCCATTTACTTTAATAAAAATCAACTTACATTGCCTTTAATGCTATTTTTTTTTTTAGTTTATGCATTTTTTGGTGTTGTTAGCGCCATACTCTGCTGTTTAAGCTAGAGGAAACTGTCACTGAATGGAAGAGAGAAGTGTAAACATTCTTCAGAATATATTCTTTTGTGTTCCACAGCAGAAACAAAATAATACAGGTTTGGAACAATGATGACAGAACTTTTTGGTGCAGAAATAGGGCTTATTATAGTTCACCCACAGATTTTACCAATATGAATCTGAGAGATTTTACTTTTTAAAAGTACAAATCTGTTTTTGACAGGAATCTTTTTGGTTGGTCCACAGACCTTATGACCTACATTAAATGGCTGGATGCAGTACTTGAAAGATACAAATGACTTGATATATTAGATAAGAGGTTTTTTTTTTCTGTCACTAAACTCCAGGCAGCTTGTTTAGGTTGCAGTTTCTCTGTAACATAAAGCTGATTTTCACACGCTTTCATTGATATTATTGAAAGATAAATGTCATTACCAAGACCCTGTCAGTGCATTATACATTCCCAGAAATGTTGTTTGATGAAAACAGTGAAAAGCTTGTATTTCTTGCTTCTGCAGAATATCTTACTGCACAACAGACAAAACTCAGGATAAGGTCTTTGCCTACGTCTCCCAAAGCCAGTTCAACGAAACTCTGGAGTGCCATGCCTTCCTGTGCCAAAAAAAGAAAATAGTAAGTGTCTTCAGATGCACATTGTGAAAGTGTTTGGATGTTACAGATGGCACAATGTAAAATTCCTATCTATCGATCTACACACACTCACTTTAAAAATTTTCCATTTTGATAGTTTTGTAATCCTTCATCACCTTGCTGTGTGACCTGCTTAATGATTAGCTATTTTCTCGCTGCAGTTTTTGTATTATATTTGACAAACTGTTATTGTGAAAGCCACAGTCTCGTCTCTTGATCCGGGTCTATAGTTGGTATCTAGCGCCATCTAGTGGACGAGAGAATGATTCTTCAAAATCTCACCCAAAGCTCTCTTTGATTTTGTGCGATCACGTGTCCTCAACAGGCTCAGGCTGTGACTCTGACAGTTGCACAAGCTTTCAAAGTAGCTCTGGATCTGTGGGAGATCGCACAGGAAGGTGAGTTTTTTTGCCCTTTGTCGATATAAATATATACCAAGTAACATAAGATAGGCCTATATTCCTGTGTATTCATTTGCAGACAAAAGTAAGAAAACCCGCACATGCTACACCTGTTCAGACCCTGAATCTCAGCCTGAATTTGAAGCAAACAGTGTTTCAGGTACATTTATTGGTTTGAACACAATGGTTTGCTGGATGTCTGTCTTAATTTAGTTGAATTCATGGGAATACTCTTCATTTGTGTTCTTTACTTGTGTCAGAGGAGGAGAAGACTCAGGCTCTGATGGAGCACAAACTTAGGAAGCCCTTCTTCCCTTCCTTCCTTTCACCATCTCCACGCAGCAAAGCTAGGAGACGACCAATCAAACATGACTCCTGGGTATGATGTCATCCTTTATAAACTTTTATCACACACTACCATTCAGAAGTTTGTGGTTGGAAGGATTTTTGGTAACACTTTAGTAAAGGGACCAATTTTCACTATTAAAGCAGCACTATGTAACTGTTGGCGCTCTAGCGGTTAATAAACAGAACTGCACACATCCCGCGGAAGAACATTCCAACCGGAGCTACTTCTCTAAGTTTATGTCTATGGCGATTCACGCAGGTATGTGTTACTCCGCAGCGGCGACGACCCGACCAGGCTACAATAGTCCAAATATAAGTACTTATTATAAGTGTACCGTAGTGATTCGGAATAAGACAAAAACGCGGTTTGGAAGATGAATTCATGATGTACTTGCTCATTATATACATTTTGCAAATTTTGAACACAGAAAAAGTTACATAGTGCTGCTTTACAGTTTTTTTCAATTGCTTACACACTAAAATGAGAACTTTCCAACAATTACCAAAACCTTACACTCAAGGAGCAAAACACCGGCCTAGAGATGGTGTCAGAGGAAGAGGGAGAGTGTGGATGAGAGGGGGAATCCGGAGACAACAAGGGAGAGGGAGACCTGGAGGAGGGGTAGGACATGCACAAAGAAGAAGACAACCAAATCTGTGTAACGAAATTCGTGCTACAATTGTGGACCATGTAATAAACCACGGACTAACACTGAGGGAGGCTGGACTGAGAGTACAGCCTAACCTAAGCAGGTACACGGTGGCATCAATAGTTCGGACATTTCTCCCATCGAGGAGTTCTTCTCAGCATGGCGGTCGGGAAGGTTTATGATCTCCGGCCCTATGTCCAGATGGCCCTCATTCAAGCTATGGAGGAAGCATGTGATCAAATTGAAGCAGCATCCATACAAGGGTGGATTCGTCACTCCAAAAGATTCTTCCCACGTTGCCTTGCAAATGAAAATATAGCCTGTGATGTTGACGAGGCCCTGTGGCCAGATCCAGCTAGGCGGAGAGATGTTTAGGTTTTTATTTATTTTTTATTCAGTACTGAACTGGATATGTAATTTGTTACAGTATTACTGTAAGCTTACAGTACAATGGTACGTTCAGTAATACTGTATGAAAACTGGAAAATGTTTTGTTATGAATGATTGTTGAAATGTTCAGTATTGACTGACTTGAGTACATGAAAAGAAATAAATTGTTATGACAACAAAATAAGGTTTTTATAAGACATTGTATAGTTTTGACAAAAGTGTTCCATTTTGCAAATTATCTGAGGTGTTGTGCTACTTTGGTGTAGTGTTGTGCTAAATGTGTGAAGGGCTTTGAAAAACCGGGCCCTGTTTTCAAAATTGTGCTTAAGCAATTGAAAAAAACTGTAAAATAAAGTGTGACTGGATTTTTAAAAGTTTTTGAAAGAAGTCTCTTTTTTTGGTCAACAATACATTAAAATAGTAATCCTGTCAAATATCATTACAATTTAAAATGTTTTAATGTATTTTAAAATGTAATGTATTCCTGTGATGGTAAAGCTGAATTTTTAGCAGCAATTACTCTAGTTTTCAGTGTCACATGATCTCTTCAGAAATGATTATGATATGCTCAAAAGCAATATATTAGAAAATATAAGTATATTGTAGCATTGTAAATGTCTTTACTGTCACCTTTGATCAATTTAATGTGTGAATGTGAATACAAGTAATAATTTCAAAAAAATAAAATCTTACTGAACTCAATTTAGAGCACAATTAATTACACATAAGTATCCCTTCATAGAAGGACATGCAGGAGTTTATTTCTGTATTATGTGATAAAATATGGCTGAAATGCAAGGCAGTCTTTTCTGGTAACCTGAATGGCATCATCATATGAATCCTCATTAATTTGCTGAAAGAATGCCACTATTGTGCAGAGTATCGGCTCCAAAATGAAGGTCAGTTGTTTTGAAACCAAAGACCATGCCAAGGCAGTAATTACTCTTATTTCCATTGGCTAACTGCCATTACATTGTCAGTCAGCAGTGCCTGTCCTGTTGATATAGCGCATAGTCACCACTAAGTGGCATTGTCTGCTTAAATACAATATTATTGATTAAACACATGACCACTAGGTGGAGAGCGGCCTATTTCCAGTTTAGTTGCCAAGGTCTGTTTTATGAAAGATTGGATCTATCAAGCTCTCTGTCTGCACACCGTGCTCAACTGTGCCTTTGTTAATTACTTTTCAGCTGTGATTGAATTCCATTCACTGCTCAGGCAGGTTCTGAGACCCAATTAGGACTTTCAGTCTGCTGTTCTCAGATAATGACTGTCTGTCACAGAATATACTGTAGATTAAGTTTTTACAGCATGCTGGTGCTGACAGATGCTCTGTGAATCTGTGTGTCTGATATAGATGTGATCTGTGATGGTTTTTCTTACATGGTTTTTCTGTGTTCTTTTATTTTCAGGATGCGGAAGATGGCCTCGATGATGCGTTTTCAAGGTAAGTTTGTGTTCCCTTCTGCTCACACATAGTCAACCTGTCTCAGAAATCAGAGATTTCAGAGATGTAGTGCTTATTGATCACTACCTGCGCTTTAAAATACACTCACATACATATACAAAAAAAGAAAAGATCTTACTGTGGTAGTAAAAAAAAATACTCTTACTGACCCCAAACATTTGAATGGATTCACTTGTGTTTGTTCTAAGAGCATTTTATCTGCAATGCGGCTCAGGAAATGTCTGAATACAGCATTTAAAAAGAGATGATTTCCCCCGAGATGCACTAAAATTCTTTGTTTATTAGTAAGAGGCAAACGGGTTGATTTGCTTCCTTAAAGACACCAGGAAATCAAAATGTGGGCTTTTCTAGCATATCATCCATGTGTGTGTGTTAGTTTTGAGGCCATCTGTATGCTGATGTGGAATTATTTGTAAAATATTTATAAATATATAATCAGCTAATGTGTTCACGCTCCCTCAGGTGTGACATTATGTCTCATAAAGTGGAGATGGAGCGAGATTCACTGAAAAACATGAACTGCAGCGGCTCTGGTTCAGATTAATGGATGTGGAGAATCATTTTATTCTGAGTGTCTCTCCATACACAGTTATTAATATCAATTCAAACAGAGCCCTGGAAATGAGTGCAATGATAGGTTGGAGTTATTCACGTTTAGCAAGTATTCACGTTGAGCAAGGACAGAAGCAGATGGCATGTAAAGAGTTCATAATGACTTCATTCAAGCTTTTCTGTGAACAGTTAAAGCTGTTAGATACATAAACAAGAATTAACAAAATAATAAATATGTTCTTATTACCCAGATTAACAGATAGTGAAACTGGCAAAGTGGAAAAAAGACAAAAACAAATAGAATCTGTCATTGCATTAATTTTATAATTGTATAATAATTTATTAATCAATTCATTCATTTTATATTTTATTAATAATACATATTTTATAATAAATGCAACAATTTCTAATTAATTCAAATTATTAATCTGAAATTATAATCTGTTCTGTCATTTGAATTTTATAATTTAAATATAATTAATTAATTAATTAATATTTTATTAATAATACATCATTTTTATAATGTATATTTTTAATTAAATTAAATTATTAATCTAAAATTATAATCTGCTCTGTAATTGGATGAATTTTATCATTAAAAAAATAATAAATTAATATTGTGTTAATAATTCATATTTAAAATGTTCATATTTTATTAACGATCATATTTTATTACATTTTTATAATAAATAATAATAACATATGAATATTTTAATTAACTGTAAAATATAGTATAAAGATGAATTATAATATAAAATTATAACCTTTTCTGTCATTGGATTAATTTGTTTTTAGAATGAATTAAATTAAATTAAATTATATTTAGAATATAATAATGGATTAATATTAAAAAAATAATAATAATTCATATTTTAATAATTAATGTTTAATTGATAAGAATTATTCATGTAAAAGTATAATCTTTTCTGTCATTGGATGAATTTTATAATTAAAATACAATAAATTGATATTTTATTCATAATGAATGTTTTTTTATAATAAATTACAATAAATAAACCAACATTTAATTAATTAGAATTATTGATATACAATTATAATCATATTCAATTAATGTACAATTATTATTTGTTTTAATTTAATTACATTATTAGGTTTGTGGTAGATTTTTGAGTTTATCTCGCTGTCTGTTTGTATGGACATCTTTAATGGGGCACCAAGCAATAAAATCAGTGCTTTCTTTGCTTAATGCTTAGGAACTGATTGCTTACTGAGTTACAAGTATTCTTATGTTGCACAGGGATGTGCTTTCTATTCAGTGTATTTTTAACCTGATAAAAGTCGTTCTATGATTGCTTACCACATTCTCTGCTGCAATAAAGTTGTAACTGGTTGTGATGCCAATGCATTACTGTGACTTCATTACTTTCATATAGCAGGTCAGAAACAGCACTGTCATCCTGCCAATGGAATCCATTATTATAAGTAATGTAATGGGCCAAAGGACCAGGATTCTCTAAGGGAATCAGATGAGGCGAATCCAAATAGTCAGCTCTTTCCTTTCACCGAACATGAAGAAAAAAAACACAATAAAAACCATAATAATAGATCTAGATCTCCACTTGTTGACAAAGGCTGCTATAGTTTGAACAATGGGATGCTGGGAAGGATGTGATGGTTTAACCATAGCTTACTGTCAGCATGTGTCATGCTCTCTCTCACCTTCCATGCAGCAATATGGAGGTGGAGGAGATGGACGCAGGTAAGTGAGGTGAGAGAAACCATACTGCTTAATGATGAGCCTCAGTTATCATCAAGCCTCAGCCAGAAACTAATATCATTACACTTCAGACAAGCTTCACACTTACAGTAGTTTCCTTCATGGTCACTGCCTGACAAGATTAATGTGCTTCACTTCAACACAAAAACACACAACAGGGTTCCCAGTGAATTTTCCTGAGCTTTCAAGTCATTTGTGATTACTGGATAATAATTTATAAAAATTGTTTTGATTCAGACTGATTTGCTAATAAATGATTCTGTTCACTTTCTTCACCAGCTTGAATGATTCACTGAAAAGAACTGACTCAAACAAATGATTTGCTCACAAATTATCGCTTGTCCAATATATCTACAGTACTGTTTAAAAGTTTAGGGTCGGTAGTTTTTTTTTTTTTTTTCAGCAAGGATGAATTAAGTTGATCAAAAGTGACAGTAAAGATCTTTTTTAAGATGTTACAAAAGATTTCTATTTTAAATAAATGCTATTCTTTTCAACTTTTTATTCATCGAAGAATTCTGAAAATGTATCACAAAAACATTACACAACTGTTTTTAACATTGATAATAATGTTTCTTGAAACACTGAAAATTCATCTTTGCCATCACTGGAATAAATTATTAAAATATAAAAATTAAAAAGGATTTTTAATTGTAATTTTTTTTTACAATATTACTGTTTTACTGTATTTTTCATGAAATGAATGAAGCCTCGGTAAGACACTTTTGTCAAAAACAAACAAAAAATTCTTACTGACCCTAAACTTTTGAACGGTAGTGTAGCTGATAAATTATTTAGAACTATGCATGCAAAAGTGTATATTTACTCAAATAAATAAATTATAATAAAATGATTTTTCCAAGTCTGAAAAACAAAATGTGAAATTCCATAAAATGTCCAGGTTTTCAGTGACTGTGGGAACCCTGATTGTCTTCCCTAAAGTTTTTTTTTTGTTTGTTTGTTTTTTTGCATGTGCACCTTTCACATCTTTCAGTGTAAATGTATTTGTAAAATCCAATTTAATCCACAAAATAAAAGTTTCCGGAGTTAGAAAATTTTTAAAACAAGGAAACATAGTAACAAAATGAGAAATAGTAAGGATTACTCTTCCTCTCTCCGTCAGACTGGCAACATCCCGCAGCAGAACCGTGTCTGAGGATGCAGCTGTGAGTCCAGCGGAAGAAGATCCCCTGTCCTTCAGCAGCGAGGACTCAGACTGAACACACACACACACACAAATCACTCTCACCAGCCTATCAGAAAGTGTCCTGAACACACAACACACCCCAGCACCGCACACAACGTGCAACTTATGCCTCAGTGATGGACTCATTCACACAACTGCCACTTAAAACAGCAACAATACCACAAAACAGCAGCATAGACGTGCATGATTCAACTATAGAACTCTTGAATGCCAATGTACTTGCATTATAATACTGTAAGTTCAGGGTAAGTACTTGACAATACAACATGTGTGAAACTGCATGTTGTTATATTGTATTCAAGCGTTTGTGTAAGTAGATTTGCTACATATACCATGTAAAAACTGTAAATCTTTTCAACACATTGGTGCTATATTGTAGATACTTGGGTTATATTATTTAAATATACAATAACTGCAAACATGTACTTGAAAGGGAGACCAAATGTACATTCCACAAAGAACAGATGTCTGTCCTTCAGCCCAGCGTTCTTCAAATCAACTGAACAATCCACTGCAAAGCTCTCAGACGAGTGTGATTAAACATCAGAGGATATACAATACTAGAGCCGCATGTGTTTGGGAGTTTTAGTGAACGTTTAAGGATGTAGAATTGTTCAGGACTGACATTCTGAAGCACTGTAATTAAATTTCAGATACATATTGTGTGTCAGGGTGACGTTTGCTTAAGCAATCATTACAGAAACTCTTTTCTGTGATCATTACATTTTGAAATATTTTACAAAGGCCTCAAAACACTTCAGAATTTCTTTCTTCTTTAGGATTCAAAATAGTCTTGTGTAAAATCCTTTCACACTGGCTTCCAGCCACAAGTGTTAGATTTATTATTATATTGTCATCAGTGAAACTTAATTAATGTTAATTATTTTTTAAATACATGCAACTTCATACATTTACAGACCTGGATTTTTTTTCTTTCTTTCTTTTTCTCTAATGATTTGGTTAAAAATAAACATCATATACTGCCAAACAGATGTTGAACAGAAAAGGCACAACAATTTATATCTTACTTTTTTCTATAGATTCTGCCATTTCTTGGCTTTATAAGAACTAAAGAATATTACACTTTGCCTCTCAGAAATGAAAAATGATCTTTTTCCCATGAGTCCCAATCAGTCTCTAAAATGCACGCTCAGAAATCTCTTCATCATTCTCCATCATTAAATGCTCCGTCTTTGAGCCTCAGTGGCTCTGTCAGCTTTTTGCTGTTTTGTGCATTTTTGAATATGCAGTATTTCCGCTCAGTATTACAGATCAAAAATGTTTAACCATTTTCTTTTCTGCTGGAAGTGGAATAAGTTTTAATTTAATAGAATATATACTGTAATGGCAGTGTCTGCTGTAGCTAAAGGTCTTAGTTCAGTTAGTGGTGTTCTGGTTATTTTGATTAATCATATTGAATCTGTCAGTGGGTTAATTATTAATGTTTGTCCTGATTTGACTGTTTATGCATTTCACAAAAAAATCACTGTTTTCTGTGGAAGGATTTGGAACACTTCCAGTGTCTTTAACATTTGCAACAGCCATAGTAAAAACTCATATCTGAAATGATTTCTTAAATATTGTTCAATCAGTATATAAGATTGTGTGTGATTTTATAATGTGTTTTATTTTGTTGTTTGTTTATAGTAAAAAATTTGGTGCTTTATAAAAATCTATGCAATCTATGTTTGGCTTTGTACACATACTAATCTTTATTATTTAAACCATCGTGAAACCATAATTGAGCTGAAGAGGTCATTTGCATATATACATAAACATTGGTTGATATTTAATAATGTATAATAAAATATTTGTTCAAAAACACAATAGTCTCATATCTTGTGATTTTAGCAGTTAATGAAAAAGTAGTGCCATTAGGATATTTCTATATCGAGACAATGTAAATTTGAGTCTTTGTTTTGAATATATTGTTCATTTGATTAATTCTCTAATGTCTTGACAATGTTAATGACTCTTAATGTACTTTGTTTGGTGGTTGAATGCGCCAATAAATGACTTCCCACTTCATTTGCACGTCTGTGTTGAAACAAACATTAGGTTTGGGTTTTTATATTCTCTCATACACCAGATATGCTATAATGCCATTAAGAAGGCAAGAAAAAAACAAACTTGCATCAAGTCATTCATTATCTTTATTAAAACTGATAAGGAGAAATAGAAGATGAAATCAACTAATTTAAAAGAAGAGCCATGAACTGAGAGCATAAATGCAAAACTATACATGCACTTTTCATCATTAGGTTTATGCTGTCTTTATATTCTTAAAACAACAATAATTCAGATTCAGTCAGGATATATATATTTTTTTTTTACACAGTGAGATTAGCATTTAGGTACATTATTCAGGTTTTAGGGTTTTAAGATTATAACAGTGAAACAAAACTGGTTAAATAAGCAAATAAATATTACTAGTCATATTTACGTTACATAAAAACTGTTAAAGAAGGTGAAGAGATGAAGCTATTTGCAAGCAGAGGGATTTGGCATAAATCTGTTCTCTCTAATAAGCAGAACAGACACAATTCCACCACATCTACAGACTAATAAAAATAAGAGCACAAACTTAAAGAAATATGTGAACAAATGTGCACAAGCTCAGAAAATATGCACAAGCTCAGGCCATCCAAGATGTAGATGAGTTTGTTTCTTCGTCGGAACAGATTTAGAGAAATTTAGCATTACATCACTTGCTCACCAATGGATCCTCTGCAGTGAATGGGTGCCGTCAGAATGAGAGTCCAAACAGCTGATAAAAACATCACAATAATCCACAAGTAATCCTTGATCAGTGTATATTTCTCTCCTGAATCAGACAAGATGCCTTATGGAGAAAAACGTCTTGATAAATTTATTAGAAACATGCAGGTTTTCGCTTGACAAGATGTGGATTACTTGTGGATTATTGTGATGTTTTTATCAGCTGTTTGGTCTCTCATTCTGATGGCACCCATTCACTGCAGAGGATCCATTGGTGAACAAGTGATGCAATGCTAAATTTCTCCAAATCTGTTCTGATGGAGATACAAACTCATCTACATTTTAAAAGGCCTCAGATTAATTTTTGGGTGAACTATTCCTTTAATCTAAAGACCTGCTTCTGTACACATCCTATCAGACCACGAGAGCTGCATGCACAAACAAAACACAAGCTAATAAATTAGTAGAAACCCTGTCATACTTCAGTACCATTACAAAAATACACTTTCCTTCCTTTTCTATACAAGAGAAAAAATCCCAGATTTAGTCTGATATATTGCAGTAAGATTTTTGGGAATTCTCCATCCATCATAAAATATAGATATCCAGTCATACGCGCAATGTACGTTATTTACAGTCCCAGTAGATAGCTTTAATATGTGTATATGGGTGGGCCGATACAGCGGTGTAGCTGATGGGTTTTTGACCGTGTGGTGATCCATACTCTCATCCTGATACTGCGACGGAGGGCATGACTGACGTCTACGATACTCCCATCACACCTCGATGATGTTGATCGATGGCACAGACTGGTGGAACTGCAACAGACAGGAGGACAAAAAAAACAGAAGAGTGATTCTCCTCCGAGGGGCCCGTTTCATCAGCGCCTGCAATCGTTTGTGTGGCGGTCTGGGACACGATGGCTTGCTGGATGGATAGAACGCTGCTGGATGTATTTGCAGCTTGAGATTATTGTATATATGGCTGTGAGCACTAAGATGTAATGCACACGGAGACGAATGCACATCATTTTTTGCTCTGTAGCAGTACAGTATGTCGAAATTGAGGCCATTAGGGTCTTGATGCAGGAGAGGACATCATCAAAGGGTCTGATATTGATTTTATCATGCGTCTAAAAGGCCTGGTTTTTTGATGCGTTATAAGGACTAATGGTGGCACAGAGTGGAACGGGTGAAATGTGAAGCATCTGTCCTTGTTTTATTGCTCTAAATTTCCTACAGAGAAAGTGCCAAGTGAAGAGCTACAGGAATATGGGAAGGATCAAAGGCACATGGTAGTTTTCCTGAGATGGTTTATTTTAGAAGTAGGTCAGTAGCTCTGGTGTTTGATCCACAGGACTTATTATGCTGAAAAGTCTCTGATTCTAAAATTAAGCGTCATGCATAATATTTTTCACTTTCCTCTCTATCTTCATGGATGCTACAGAAAGTAGTAAATATTATGACGGCCTTAATTATTTTAATTATAGTTATAATTAGTATTAGTTAGGTGCTGTTTTATAGGGTTGGGTAAAAATATTGTTTTTCGGATTAATTGCGATCTTCAGTTGAACAATTTTGATATTCTTAAAATCCCAAAATTGGTCTGCATGCAAATGTATTTGTATTGCGCTTCATAATCTGGGCCTTTTAAAAGGATTATTTTAATAATTTACAGTTGTTCATAAATTTACATACCCCTTGCAGAATATGCAAGATGTTAGCATTTTTTTCAAAATAAGAGCATCATTAAAATTGCATGTTATTTTTTATTTAGTACTGTCCTGAATCACATAAATGTTTACGTATAGTCCACAAGACAAAATAATAACTGAATTTTAGTTTTAAGGAGTAACTAGTTACATGTGTTACGGAATTACGGAATTTAATTTCAAAATAACTGTAACTGTAATCTGTCTGTGAAAAAAAAAAGTGTAATTAAATTACAGTTACTTATGAAAATGTTTACAAAGGGGGTTACAATTGAATATTTTCACACACATACAGATATGATTGATTTCTTTCCCAAATTGCACTGACTGCTTTAAAATATGAGACACCAATGTTTCAGGAGTTTAGGACACAGAATAGGACACATGCTTATTCGATAACTATTTTATTTTCTATTTGGGTTTATGTATATGCTTCATTTTTTAAGATTAACCGTTTTTCCCCCCCAAAGCATTGTTAAATGATAGTGTTTCCTGTCATAGCTATGTAAAGATTTGATCTCAAAAACAGTATCATAGCTATTAAACTATATCTTGTTATGATGTAAAGCTGTTTTTAACCTCAGAATGATCTCAAAGTAAAAAGAGGTGCTAAAGTATGATTTTGTGGTGGCTGTGCTTTAAAATGATTATAATCTAAACTAGTTAAAACTATTATAATCTTAATTTAAGTGATGAAGAATTTTGAAAATCTGACAGTAATCGGTGTTGAGTCCCAGTGTAAGGTTAACCCTACCTGCTTTCAATTTTTTCAAAATGATTAACAGTTGAAAGTGTTAGAAATTTAGAAAAGTAATCAAAAGGTAATCAAATGTAATCAGTTACATTACTTCAATAAAGTAACTGAAATAGTTACAGTAATTGTTACATTTTAAAGAGGGTAACTTGTAATCTGTAATCTATTACATTTCCAAAGTAACCTTCCCAACACTGCTGAATTTCTTGAATTTAATAAATGAAATTATTAACATCTTGCATATATTCTGCAAAGTGGTATGTAAACTTAAAAGCAGAAGTACCAAATTAGAAGGTTTCCTGTATCAGTGTGTCCTGCATCGCTTTTCACGCTTCTGAATATTCAGCACTACAGTCAAATAAACCATATTTTACCTGTTGTGAGTCTGTTTGAATCCAAAAAAAATAAAAAAAATTGTACTTTCTGTGGATGTCTGTCTGTGGAGTTGTCCTTGCAGGCTGCATGCAACAAAGACTAAACTACAATCAGTGTAGTCTGATTCCCAAAATGAATGATTCTTTTGAGCTGGCTCTTTTAGTAAATTGTCCATAAAGAGATACCCTTTTGAATCAGTCTCAAACATTTCTCCGTTCAATTTACAGCATTAGCAGGGAGAGAATTTAAGTGATCACTG